GTCGAGCAGGGCAATGATTCCAAGAGGGTACGCGATGGATGGAAGAGCATGGCGTAGAGGAGCAAGGCAGAGCATAGCATGTCATAGCATGGCGTGGCGCTGCGTAGTGAAGCATTGTATCACAAAGTATAGCAAAGCAAATCATGACATCGCAGCGGTGCACAACACAGCATCGCACTGCATGCCGTGGCATGGCACCAGATGACTTGGAGGGCAAGTGGCCGTCTATGAGAGGACAGGGCCTCTCCGGAATGCCGGCTCCATGTCCTTCGCAACCGTGCGTGCCCGATGTTGGCGTTGTTGAATACCATTTGCCGTCCGGAGGCGCGGGGACGGGGCCGGCGCCGCAGCGGGAGCACGATTTTGTCTGACCGAAGCGCGGAAATGAGGGCGGCGCTGCAGCGGGAGCACCATGTGGGAAGAACCAGAAACGACCAGATTGAAAGCAAAGACACATGGGAAAAACCCAAATAATGAAAACCTGTGCGTGTGAAAATCAATGCGCGGAGAGGACGGGAGACAGAGAGGAGAGTAGTATTCATATTGTGTATTTGTGCAGGAGGGGCAGGAGCGGGAGGAGAGGAAGGAGGGACGGGAGGGGAGGAGGGGGGAGGGGGGGAAGAGGGGAAGCAAGGGGGCGGGGGCAGGGGAGGAGGGGAGGAGGGGAAGAGGGGGGAGGAGGGGGACGAGGGGGACGAGGGGGAGAGCGAGGACGGAGGAGGGTGACGAGGGGGAGGGAGTAGGGAGTAGGGAGAGGGGAGGTGGGGGGGGAGGGGCAGGAGGGGGAGCAGGGGGGAGGGGGGGGAGGGGAGGTGGGGGAGGAGAGGAGGAGGAGGACGGGGTGGAGGGGGAGGATAGGGGGGGGAAATGAGGAGGAGGGGGGATGACGGAGGAGGAGGCTGGAGGGAGGAGGGAGGACGGAAGACACACAAGGGGGACGATGCAGTAGGCAGTAGGGATGGGGGAGGGGGGGAGGGGAAGAAGGAAGGTTGGAGGGAGGTGGGGGGAAGGAGGATGGAGGAGGGAGCAGGGTTGAGGGAGAAGAGGAAGAGAAACAGGAACAGGCAGAGGAACAAGAGGAAGGAGAAAAAATGAATAATGAAGAAGGAAGAAGGAATGAGCAAGGAGGAAGGAGACAAAAAGGAAGAGGGAGCAGGAGGAGGAGGAGGAGGAGGTGGAGGAGGAGGATGATGAGGAGGAGGAGGAGGGACAGGAGGAGGAGGAGGAGGAGGAGGAGGAGGAGGAGGAGGAGGAGAAGAGCGAGGAGGAGGAGAAGGGAGGAGGAGGAGGAGGAGGAGGACGAGGACGAGGACGAGGAAGAGGAAACAGAGGAGGAGAGCAACCAGAGAGGAGGAGGAACAGAGGAGGAGGAGGAGGAACCAGAGGAGGAGGAGGAACCAGAGGAGGGAGGAGGAGGAGGAGAGGAGGACGACGAGGCGGAGGAGGAGGAGGGGGAGGAGGAGGAGGAGGAGAAGGGAGGAAAGAGGATGAGGATGAGGAGGAGGAGGAGGAGGAGGAGGAGGAGGAGCAGGAGGAAGGGGAGGGCGGCGGAGGAAACAGAGGAGGAGGAGAGGAGGAGGAGGAGGAGAGGAGGAGAGGAGAGGAGGAGGAGGAGGAAGGAGGGAGGAGGAGGAGCACCAGAGAGGAGGAGGGAACCAGAGGAGGAGGAGGAGGAGAGGAGAGGAGGAGGAGGAGGAGGAGGAGGAATAGGAAGGAGGGGGAGGAAGAGTGGGAGTGGGAGGAAGGGAGGAAAGGAGGGAGGAAGGAAGGGGGGAGGAAGGGAGGGAGAAAGGGAGGAGGAGGAGGAGGAGGAGGAGGAGGAGGAGGAGGAGTAGGAGGAGGAGGAGGAGAAGATGGAGAGGGATGATGATGCTGCTGGGGATGATGATGATGCTGATGATGATGCTGATGATGATGCTGATGCTGATGCTGCTGATGATGATAATGGTGGTGATGCTGCTGATGGTGATGCTGATGATCATGATCATGACCATGATCATGATCATGATGCTGGTGACGCTGATGGTGATGGTGATGCTGATGATGATTCTGCTGAGGCTGATGATGCTGGTGATGCTGATGACGAGGAAGCCGATGCTGATGATGATGATGTAGATGCTGCTGATGATGATAATGACGATGATGTTGATGCTGCTGATGATGATAATGACGATGTTGCTGATGATGGTGATGGCGATGGTGATGATGATGATGATGATGATGATGATGATGATGATGATGATGATGATGATGATGATGCTGATGATGATGATGATGCTGATGGCAATGTTGATAATGTTGATGGTGATGATGTTGATGCTGATGATGATGACGATGGTGGTGGTGGTGATGATGGTGATACTGCTGCTGCTGCTGCTGCTGATAATGATGCTGATGATGATGCTGATGCTGACGCTGATGATGACGATGATGATGAGGATGCTGCTGATGACGATGATGGTGATGATGATGATGCTGCTGATTGTGATGATGATGCTGATGATGATGGTGATGATGGTGATGATGATGTTGATGCTGATGCTGATGCTGATGACGATGATGGTGATGATGATGATGTCGATGATGATGATGATGATGATGATGATGATGATGATGCTGATTATGCTGATGATGATGATGATGACGATTATGATGATGATTATGATGGTGAAGATGCTGAAGCTGATGAAGATGATGATGATGCTGATGATGATGCTGATGAAGATGACGATGACGATGACGATGCTGATGATGATGATGACGATGATGATGATGATGATGATGATGATGATGATGATGATGCTGATGCTGATGCTGATGCTGATGCTGATGATGATGATGCTGCTGATGATGATGATGATGATGATGATGATGATGAGATGATGATGATGATGATGATGATGATGATGATGATGATGATGATGATGATGATGATGATGATGGTGGTGGTGGTGGTGGTGGTGGTGGGTGGTGGTGGGGAGGAGGAGGAGGAAGAGGAGAGAAGAGGAGGAGGAGGTTTGGTGGTGGTGAGCAGGAGGAGGAGGTGGAGGAGGAGGAGGAGGAGGAGGAGGAGGAGGAGGAGGAGGAGGAGGAGAGGGGAGAGGGGGAGGAGGGGAAGAGGGATGACGAGGAAGAGGGGAGCAGGGAGGAGGAGGAACAGCAGGAGGAGGAGGAGGAGGAGAAGGAACCAGAGGAGGAGGAGGAGGAGGAGGAGGAGGAGGAGGAAGAGGAGAGGGGAGGAGGAAGATGAGGAGGAGCAGGGAGGAGGAGGAGACGGGAGGAGGAGGGATGAGGGATGGACGAGGGGGAAGAGGGGAGGAGGGAGGAGGGGGAGCAGGATGAGGAGGAGAAGGAGGAGGAGGAGCGGGGAAAAGGGAGGGGGAGGAGGGAAGAGGGGTGACGAGGGAAGAGGGGAGGAGGGAGGAAGGGGGAGCAGGAGGAGGAGGAGGAGGAGGAGGAGGAGAAGGGGGAGGAGGATGAGGATGAGGATGAGAACCAGTAAAAACCCAAGAGTCATCAACGATGTTGGAATGAACCCTCCATCCAAGCTCCCTCTTCGTAAGCCCCTACAATGGATCATTTCCATCGAGGGAACTGCCTCGTTGGAAGACAACCGTTTGAAGATCCTGAAGCGTGGCAAAACATTGCTCTCGGAACATCAACGCCACGTATCAACCTGACTGCTGCGCCCGCATAATCCTGAATCTTTCCCAGACACAATTTCTGGTACGTTGATCATAGGAATCCGTGAAGCTGTTGCACATGATGAAACGAATGTGCGCGGCGCTAAGGCGAGAGCCACATCTTGAAAACGACCCGCCCTCTATCCGTGAACCTCTTGCAAATTTTGACAACGAATGTATGGTCTTCGCGCAGTATTCACTTCCCTTCGGCCTGAGGCCTATTGGATCTTCGCTGGGATCTCTTGGGGTGTTTTCGCGGGCCTCTTGGAAGCAGTGTCGAAGCCTCTCGGGCGCCGTTTTGGGGCCTCTTTTGGGCCTCTTGGGGTCCTCTGTTGGGCCTCTTGGGGGGTTCTTGGGGCCGCTTGGGGGGCTTCCTGGGCGCTTCTTAGGGCGGAAGGCTAGAATTTTCGCTTCGTGTTCCTCCTCTTGGGCCCCTGTTGGCGCCGTCGATGATGGTGATGATGATGATGGTGGCGGTGGCGATGAAGGTGACGATGGGGATGGCGATGATGATGGCGATGAGGAGGATAACGAGAGGAGAAGGTGAGGACTACGATGAGAAGGAGCATGGCGAGGATGATGATGAGATAGAGAGGGGGGAGGCAGTCGCGACGATGATGGTTTAGAACAAGATGGCAAATGCCGAATTGGAGAGCGATGTTTTTAAGTGGGATAATGGGGCCAGGGACGGGGGGGGAACGGTCAGAGGAGGCGAAGGGGGAGACGATGGGTGAGAGGGGATGGGGGTTGAGGGGGGCGCCGGGGGAAGGGGTCGCGCCGTCTCCCCCCCATCCGCCCCCCCCCCTTCCCTCCTCATGGTTCCCCTTCCTCGTGGTGTCGCGCTCACCGCCCTTGCGTTCCTCGCCCTCTCCTCCTCCTTGTCCTCCGTTTACTATTGTCATCCGTTCCTCCTTCTTTCCCCTTGGCATCTTTCGCTGTTCGCTATCCCTCCGACCAACTCCTCGTCATCCGCCTGGTTGCCTTGCGCGTCGACGCTCTCTTCTCGTTCGCATCGTTGGACCCCGATCTAGCGCAGCGCTGTTTCGAAGGCATGGGTGGCGTGTCTGTGATGAATCCTACGACAATGTTATGAACATAATATATGTTTGGTAGCTTTTAAAAAGTATGCTGCAAGTATTTTAACATACGTATAGTTTGGGAATCTGTTTTTGAGTATTTTCCAAGACTTTTCATGCGTATTCATTGTTTGGACTGTGAGGCGGGACGCGCTCCATATAATCCTAGAAGCACCTCTGCTTCTCAGGAGGCGCGGGCCTTCATCTGCAGATGTCAGGCCCGGCGCTTTCTGCGAAGCAGGCTCAAGCCGTTTTGGCTCGAGCGCCCGCGCGCGCGCGCAGGCGTTCGAGCGCCTGGGGGGCCCGCGAGCATCAGCAGAAGTGCCCCCCCGAGCAGGTGCAGGGCGCGCCTCGCCTCCGCGGGCGCCCCGGAATGAGCCGGCGCGCCTCGCGGGGGCTGCTGCGGCCCGCGGCGGCCGCGCCCAGCGACGCAGGCGCGGAGCTCGAGGCGCCCTCTACGGACAGCGAGCCGAGCAGCCCGGCGCCCAAGCGCGCCGACTCCGCGCGGGCCGGGCGCAGCTCCGGGTCGCCGCCGCCGCGGGCCGCCTCCGCGGGCAGCGGAGAGAGCGGCGCGACGGGGCCCGCCTCCTCGAGCACCAGGGCGTCGAGCTCGAACTCAAGGTCGCAGCGCCGCTGGAAGATGCACCACCAGCAGCAGCGGAGCACCAGCAGCTCCAGCGCCGAGGACTTGGAGTCGAGGGTGGAGGCGACTGGCGACCGCCAGCCTTAGCCAGATTCGGGCGACGACCAGCAGCCCGCGCCCCGCGGCCTCTGCCGCGGCCGGGCGGCGCGGCGGCGGGCGCTGCGCGAAGCGGCCGCGTGGCGCAGCGCGGCGGCCGCCGGCGGAGCCTCGTCGAGCGCCGCCTCGGAGTGGTGGCAGGGCCACGGCAAGCACCCAGCCGGCAGCGCCGCTTCCAGCGGCGGCGCCTCCGCAGAGTCGGGGCGGGCGGCGGGCCCCAGCGGGGGCGCCGGGCAGCGGGCCGCGCGCGGTCAGCCAGCGCGGCAGCGCGGGGCCCACACCAACCCGCATGCCGCGGCAGTCCCCGACCTTGATGCCGGCGCAGGCGGTGTTGTTGGACAAGGTCAGGACGTCCAGTGGTTCTCGCTGTAGCAACCTCGCCCCTCGCGTGCTCGCCAGGAGGAGCCCCGACGTGTTCGGCGCGCCGATCCACAGGGTGCAGATCGGACAGCTCTCGCACCGCCTATGGCAGCTGGTGGAGAGAGGCCAAGTGACACTGGAGGCGACGCTGAGGCACCCTGGCGCGGCTTCCGCTGGTCTCGTTCTGCAGCCGAATTCAAGGTTTTCGGATTCCGAGGGGAAGAGGGAAACCCCATTCCAGATCCTCGCACTTACCGCGGTAGCACCCGCACTCTTTTTCCCCATATCCTAAGATGGGGTTCTTGTTCCCCATATCCTAAGATGGGGTTCTTGTTATTACTTGGACGCCTCCTACTTCCTCTCCCTCCTCCTCTTTCCTCCTCCCCTCCTCCTCTTTCCTCATACTCAGACCTACTCATACTCAGACTTACTCATACTCAGACTTACTCATACTCAGACCTACTCATACTCAGACTTACTCACACTCAGACATACTCATACACAGACTTACTCATACACAGACTTACTCACACCCAGACGTACTCATACACAGACTTACTCATACCCAGACTTACTCATACACAGTATTACTCATACTCAGACTTACTCATACCCAGACGTACACATACACAGACTTTCTCATACACAGACCTACTCATACCCAGACTTACTCATACACAGACTTACTCATACACAGACTTACTCATACTCAGGCATACTCATACCCAGACCTACTCATACTCAGACTTACTCAACACACATCAGATTTGGAGGATGTCTCAAGCGGGGCGCTGGTTTCAGCACCCCTAAGGGGAGCCGCCAGGGGTGTTTGCACGGGCTCGTTCGCGGCCATTTTGTGGGGATGTCTCAGGCGGTTTGCTTGTTTCTGGGCTCAACATCCTTCGCTTGGAGAGCAGATTGTGAGGATGTCTCAGGCGGGGCGCTGGTTTCAGCACCCCTAAGGGGAGCCGCCAGGGGTGTTTGCACGGGCTCGTTCGCGGCCATTTTGTGGGGATGTCTCAGGCGGTTTGCTTGTTTCTGGGCTCAACATCCTTCGCTTGGAGAGCAGATTGTGAGGATGTCTCAGGCGGGGCGCTGGTTTCAGCACCCCTAAGGGGAGCCGCCAGGGGTGTTTGCACGGGCTCGTTCGCGGCCATTTTGTGGGGATGTCTCAGGCGGTTTGCTTGTTTCTGGGCTCAACATCCTTCGCTTGGAGAGCAGATTGTGAGGATGTCTCAGGCGGGGCGCTGGTTTCAGCACCCCTAAGGGGAGCCGCCAGGTGTGTTTGCACGGGTTCGTTCGCGGCCATTTTGTGGGGATGTCTCAGGCGGTTTGCTTGTTTCTGGGCTCACCATCCTTCGCTTGGAGAACAAAGTGTGAGGATGTCTCAGGCGGGGCGCTGGTTTCAGCACCCCTAAGGGGAGCCGCCAGGGGTGGTTGCACGGGCTCGTTCGCGGTCATTTTGTGGGGATGTCTCAGGCGGTTTGCTTGTTTCTGGGCTCAACATCCTTCGCTTGGAGAGCAGATTGTGACGATGTCTCAAGCGGGGCGCTGGTTGCAGCACCCCTATGGGGAGCCGCCAGGGGTGGTTGCACGGGCACGTTCGCGGCCATATTGTGGGGATGTCTCAGGCGGTTCGCCTGAGACATGGCCTTGTGTGGCTAAACGCTCGTCTTACATATCCCACTGCCAACTATCCTAAAACATATGCACATATGGGAAGCTCCAAAGCTACCACGGGCTGACAAGGGGAAGGCCTGGCAGCTGAGGAGGGGGATGAAGAGGAAGAGGCTCGCATTCAACCGTACTCAAAGCTCACTCTGACTCATACGGAATCACTCGCATTAGGGGTCACTCGTCTTCGTCGGCCCTGTCGCCCACGTGGACGCGCTATTGTAGTCGACCGCTCATGAACAGACGCTCACCACGGCATGACATAAAACATGAGATGCGCATATGGGGAGCTCCACGCAGTGAGTAATTATTACTTGGACGCCTCCTACTTCATCTCCCTCCTCCTCCTTCCTCCTCCCCATCCTCATCTTTCCTCATACTCAGACCTACTCATACTCAGACTTACTCAGATTCAGACTTACTCATACTCAGACCTACTCATACTCAGACTTCCTCACACTCAGACATACTCATACACAGACTTACTCATACACAGACTTACTCACACCCAGACGTACTCATACACAGACTTACTCATACCCAGACTTACTCATACACAGTATTACTCATACTCAGACTTACTCATACCCAGACGTACACATACACAGACTTTCTCATACACAGACCTATTCATACCCAGACTTACTCATACACAGACTTACTCATACACAGACTTACTCATACTCATGCATACTCATACCCAGACCTACTCATACTCAGACTCATTCAACACACATCAGAGTTTGGAGGATGTCTCAAGCGGGGCGCTGGTTTCAGCACCCCTAAGGGGAGCCGCCAGGGGTGGTTGCACGGGCTCGTTCGCGGCCATGTTATGGAGATGTCTCAGGCGGTTTGCTTGTTTCTGGGCTCAACATCCTTCGCTCGGAGAGCAGATTGTGAGGATGTCTCAGGCGGGGCGCTGGTTTCAGCACGCCTAAGGGGGGCCGCCAGGGGTGTTTGCACGGGCTCGTTCGCGGCCATTTTGGTAGGGATGTCTCAGGCGGTTTGCTTGTTTCTGGGCTCAACATCCTTCGCTTGGAGAGCAGATTGTGAGGATGTCTCAGGCGGGGCCCCTAAGGGGGGCCGCCAGGGGTGTTTGCACGGGCTCGTTCGCGGCCATATTGTGTGGATGTCTCAGGCGGTTTGCTTGTTTCTGGGCTCAACATCCTTCGCTTGGATAGCAGATTGCGAGGATGTCTCAGGCGGGGCGCTGGTTTCAGCACCCCTAAGGGGAGCCGCCAGGGGTGTTTGCACGGGCTCGTTCGCGGCCATTTTGTGGGGATGTCTCAGGCGGTTTGCTTGTTTCTGGGCTCAACATCCTTCGCTTGGAGAGCAGATTGTGAGGATGTCTCAGGCGGGGCGCTGGTTTCAGCTTGAACTCAGGCGGTTTGCTTGTTTCTGGGGCTTGGAGAGCAGATTGTGAGGATGTCTCAGGCGGGGCGCTGGTTTCAGCACCCCTAAGGGGAGCCGCCAGGGGTGGTTGCACGGGCTCGTTCGCGGCCATTTTGTGGGGATGTCTCAGGCGGTTTGCTTGTTTCTGGGCTCAACATCCTTCGCTTGGATAGCAGATTGTGAGGATGTCTCAGGCGGGGCGCTGGTTTCAGCACCCCTAAGGGGAGCCGCCAGGGGTGGTTGCACGGGCTCGTTCGCGGTCAGTTTGTGGGGATGTCTCAGGCGGTTTGTTCGTTTCTGGGCTCAACATCCTTCGCTTGGAGAGCAGATTGTGATGATGTCTCAAGCGGGGCGCTGGTTGCAGCACCCCTATGGGGAGCCGCCAGGGGTGGTTGCACGGGCACGTTCGCGGCCATATTGTGGGGATGTCTCAGGCGGTTCGCCTGAGACATGGCCTTGTGTGGCTAAACGCTCGTCTTACATATCCCACTGCCAACTCTCCTTAAACATATGCGCATATGGGAAGCTCCAAAGCTACCACGGGCTGACAAGGGGAAGGCCTGGCAGCTGAGGAGGGGGGATGAAGAGGAAGAGGCTCGCATTCAACCATACTCAAAGCTCACTCTGACTCATACGCAATCACTCGCATTAGGGGTCACTCGTCTTCGTCGGCCCTGTCGGCCACGTGGACGCGCTATTGTAGTCGACCGCCCATGAACAGACGCTCACCACGGCATGACATAAAACATGAGATGCACATATGGGGAGCTCCACGCAGTGAGTAATTGTCCATGGCTACGGCAATCTCTTCTTCGGTAGAATACGCATGATACGCCACACCTTTATTCGTCGTATCCCTTTGGAGGGGCGCGGCGCTGAGGCGAGAGCCACATTTTGAAAACGACCCGCCCTCAATCCGTGAAGCTCTTGCAAATGTTGAAAACGAATGTGCGCGGCGCTTAGGCGAGAGCCACATTTTGAAAACGACCCGTCCTCCATCTTCGAAGCGGCTGCCATTTTTAAGCTTAAGGTCATAAGTGATGAGGAAGTCTCAGGCGAAACGCCGGGCCCGCCCTGAAAACTGGCCTCGGGGTGCGACAGGGAAAATTTATGTATAAGGCGAAGGAATTGAGGAGGAGGAGGTTTCCCCTCGTATTCCTGACGAGGACAATTTCGCACCCTGTCTCCCAGCGGTGTTCAGGGGTGAATGTCTTTAAACAATTCCAGATGGTTCCGACGGCCTTCCCTGAGGTCTCCTGGAGCCCCACGGGGACCAGGAAAGGGAGTCGAATTCCGCGCGGACCTCCGAGAGTGTATGTTCCCCAGCAGCTTGTCTGCATCGGGTCCACACCTGGCCCGTGAGGAGGGCAAGGGCGCTGGCGACGCCTGGAGTCGGCGATCTGATGGGCTCCCGTGTGGCATCCGGTATGTTTTCGGGCCTCCCCGTCGGATATCCCGCACATCTGTTTTCGGGTTTTCCCGTCGGATATCCCGTGTGGTCTCCCGTGTGGCGGGTCTTCCGAATGGCTTCCCATTTGGTTTCCCGTATGGCTTCCCGCACGGTCTCCCGCATGGTCTGCGGTGCGGTTTCCCGTGTGGTCTGCCGTGTGGTCTCATGTCTGATTTCCCGTGCGGTCTCCCGTGTTCATTGCAATCTGCTCTCCCGTATGACCTCCAGTACGATGTCTCGTATCCCGTGTGGCCTCCCGCATGCTTACCCGTTTTCTCTCCCGTATGTTCTCCCTTGTGGTTTTCAGTCTGGTTTCCCGTATGGCATCCCGGATGGTCTCCCCTGTGCACAGCACAGTCCAATTCTTATTGTATTGTTTGTTATGGTGTACGAGATTTGTAGATTTTGCTACTCGTCTAGGGAGTGCAGGAGAGTGGAGGTGAGAGTTGACGTTGACCCTCTCCGACCTCGCGAGGCTCAACGGAAAGGCCAAGCATGCCGAATAGCGTCCAGAATCATCGAGAAGGGAGGAGGATGAGGAGGAGGGCAGGAGAATTTTGAGGATGAGGAGGAGGAGGAGTGGCGCCCACCCCAGAACCACCGCATGCTGAACCTGCAGTGGCAGCTGCAGAAGCTGCAGTGGCAGTGGCAGGCGATGGAGTCCGTCCACGGTCTTGGGGAAACCAACGGCGAACCGATACCGCTGTTCCCAGGACCTCTTTCGGGGTGCGCTCTGACTAGAATCTCGAGGCAAATCCAGCGGTGGCGACGAGGGCCACCCAGGACTCCCAGAAAGGGGACGACGATGGAAGTGCAGCGGTGTCCGCCTCTTTTCTCTCCTCGGAGGTCCTGGGCTGAACGGCATCGCCGAGCAGGAGGAGGCGCACCCCGCATTGCAAGCGCCTCCTGTTGCTGCACGTTCTCGCATGCGGCCCGTGCACGGACTCCCCGAGACGGCCTCCGCATTGCACGCGTGCTCCGCTTCCGCTCGTCTTGTCCAGCTTGCTTGCTCATTCACACGACATATGTTGTTGGATCCTGCTGGGGGTCTGAGGTGGTCGAGCAAGGAACACGGAGGGGGGAAGAGGTTAGAGGCGCTGGGTTCGAGCAGGTTTCTCGCCTCTTTCTGCCTCTGGGGGCCGTGTCCAGGCCTGGGGTGGAAGCTTGCACTAGGTGGACCTCGGGAGGGGTCCAGTGACCGAATTTGAGCGGATTTTGCTTCACCCCGATTTCCTGGGGTCCCAACCAGTTCAGACCCCCCAGCGGCCTCCAAATTCTCTCGCTCTCGCGTTTCTCCTTCGGGTTGCTGTCCCAGGATCCAGCGCGAGGGTTGCCATGGGAATGGGAAGACATGCTGCCCAGGGTGCTCACCAAATAGGAGCAGACGATCGGAAGAGGAAACAACGGCACAGGCAATCGCTCGGAGGTCCGCGCGGATCTCCTGGCTCGGCGCTGGCCTCCCCTCCCTGGCGCGTTGCGCGCCAGGGGCGGCAGGCGCTGGAGGCGCCGCCAAGAAGAGCGCGCGGACCGCAGAAAGTTTGTGTCTATGCAGTTGGTTCCTTCTCTGTGCGTTCTGCCCGCTTGGCGCTCCGCCCCGCTTCCGCCTGGCCTGGCGCCCACGCCGAGAATGGAGGATCCCAACTTTTGAGCTTCCTGGATGCCTCCAGCAGGGACCTCCAGAGATCTTGGGGTCCTCTGGGGACTTCTGGATGCCTCCAGCAGGGACCTCCAGAGATCTTGGGGTCCTCTGGGGACCCCTGGGGGCCTCAGTAGGCGACGGCGACTGCGCCGGCAACGACGGCGGCGAGGACGGCGACGGAGACGACCGCCGGCGACAACGGGCTATGACGACGGCAACGACGGCGACGGCGACGACGGCGACGGCGACGGCGACGGCGACGGCGACGTCGACGACAACGGCGACGACGACGACGACGGCGACGGCGACGGCGACGACGACGGCCTGCGGCATCGGCGACGGCGACGGCGACGGCCTCCTGCGGCGACGGCCTGCAGCGACGGCGACGGCGGCGGCGGCGGCGACGGCGACGACGACGACGACGAGCGACGACCGTCGGCGGGCGGCTGGGAGCGCGCGGGGGGGCGGGTGCCCGCGGCGCCCCGGCGACAGCTCCCACCGCACCCTGCAGGTGGCCGCGTCCGAGTCGGGGCCCGTGGACCGGGGCTTCAACAGCTCGCCCGCGCTGGGCCGCGCGCCGATTTCGCGTTGGTGACGCGCGGCGCGCAGCGCCCCCCTAGCGCGCGCGCGCCGCAGTGCCTCCGCCAGACCTCCCGACGCCGCCACTCTTCCTCCTCCTCCTCCTCCTCCTCCTCCTCCTCCTCCTCCTCCTCCTCCTCCTCTTCCTCCTCCTCCTCTTCCTCCCCCTCCTCTTGAGCCGTTCTGGCTCAAGCATTGTTTTCCCTCGGCGTGCGGCCACCAATTCTTCAGAACGGCTGGGTGACCGCGAGCTTCGGGGCGAGGGCAGGCGACAGGACGACCGCACCTGCGTTAGGACGCTTGCCAGGGCTCCGCCTGTCAATTCTCGCACTTGGTATTGCAGGTGCTATGTGCATGGCAAGACGGGGCAGAAGTTCTTCAATATGCCTGAACGTGATCAGTGCTTTCAGTGCCGCAGGCCCAAGGAAGTAGCTTCCATCCGTACAAGGAACCGACTCTTCCCAGCACGCGCGCTCGTGATTCGAAGGGGCGTTCGGGTATGGCTGGTTCCAAAGCAGCAGGAAGCTCGGACACACCATGGGCCACGTCAGCGGAGCTGCGACAGGCGCAGGCTACCATCCTCAAGTTGGAGAAGCAGCTCGCTTCTTCCTCGCATCGTGATGAAAGCATGGAGGTCGATGAGCCTTATGCCAGCAAGCGGGTTGACCCAGACAGCAACTTTGACGAAGGTCGTGCACGTGCGCGCGCTGCCGAGCTGGAGAAACATGTTGACATGACATCCACATGTTTTGGCGAAGTTTGGTCTGTACTGCACAAATCAGTGGTTGATGAACGGAGTGAGTTGCAGCATCATATCACAAGCAGGAAGCCAGTTATCGCCCAGATTTTTGCACACACGCGTCAGATTGAAAACGTGGTGGAGGAGCATATGCATAAGCAGCAGAAGATTGCCGAGCAACAGGAGGCGAATCTCGACGCGCTGCAAAAGGAGCTGGCCAAGACTGGGCAATCCATCCAGCTTCAGCGCACCAAGCTCATTGAGTTGCGGGCGCAGCATCTTGAACTTGTTTAGGAAGTCTACTATACCATATGCTGACAAAGAGGGTGACGCTGCGACGGCGCATGCGCTTATTGTCGCGATCGGTTTCGGTGCCAGTATATTGGGCGATGTACTGCGCAGTTTTGAGGCTGGTGAGTTGGCAATGTCTATGGCTGAAGGTGTGGCTCAGGCTTTACCGACCATTATCAATAATGCGCGCGTGCAGGTGCTTGGCACGACGCGCGTTGCAGCTGAGCCTCCAAATGTGGAATTGGATGATGGCGACGACGCTGCACGTGGGGTGATTGTGTTTCCCATTCCTGTTCCTGCTTCTCAGACGCCATCACCTCAGGGCCGCGCGTGTCTGAGGTGGACATCGGCGAGCTCGAGGTCACGTTGGACGCCGCGGGTGTGCCGCTGCCGGAAGATGAGCAGGACATGCGAGAGGCAGCAGTCAATTTGTTTCGCGTGCGAGCGGCCGACAGGTTCAACGCGTTCAAGGCGTGCTGAGGTTGCGGCGCAGGTCACATGGATGGTGATCACCATGAGCATCATGGCGCGCACCCACGAAGTATTCAAATGTTCCGTTGCGACGGCCGAGGGGGGCAACATCGTGGAGGCGTCGGACAGGGCGGCGCCTTCTTCTCCTCCGCCACATGATTGGTTCGACACCGGCTACGAAGAGCACAAATCAGGACGCGCCAGTGGCGCAAGTGCAGCTGGCGATATGCAGGTGAAATGTTATGCTATTACTGTCAATGCGGACAGCGTTGCCCCATTGTTGCGATACATGGACCAGGCCAGGTCCGCGGTTGCGTTGACTCAGGAGACGCGCGCCATTGACGCCGGCATTCCCTTCTTGGCATCAGCTATGAAAGATCGTGGGCATCGTGGGCTGCATGCGCCCTCAGCGCGCACTGGCATTGGGGGCTCGTCGGCTGGTGCGGCCGTTGTTGTTCCCGCGAAGGTTACTATTGCAGCGCCACCATGGCTTGACGCGCGAATTATGAATGCAGGAAGGCGCGTTGCAGCGAAGGTTGCACGGGGTGCGAAGGTGGCTTGGTCGCCATATCGGTGCGCTTTCCGGGCGGCGTCGGTCTGCATGAAGAGACCAGGCGCAACCGTGTGACTTGATGTGCTGCGTCGGCAGGCTCAACGACATGGGCATTCCGTGGATTGCTGGTGGTGATTGGGACATGTTCGTATCAACATTTGATGGGCAGACTTGGCTGGAGCATGTGCAGTCTTTTTCTGGTGCCCAGATTGGTCACATGCGTCGCCGCCAACAGCTCGGAAGGCAGCAACTATGATAATTTTGTCGGACACGCTAGCGGGCGCCCCGCGCGGACGAGGGCGGCGACCTTCCAGCGCGCAAACCTGTCCATCCCTTTCTTTTCCAGCGGAAGTCCCCCCTCATGGCTGCGCGTGCCAGTTGAGCCCAAGGCGGTGCCTGGGGAGCCGACTGCCGGTTGCTCGCGGCCGCCCTTGTCATGGGATGAGTTGCGGTTGGCGATGCGCAAGGTCCAGGGCGTGAAGGAGATGGCGCATGTCTGGGATCCCACGGCTGCTACGCTGGATGGCGAACTGCTCCGACGTTTTGACATTTTTGGCGACCGCGCTCAGGCGCGCAAGCGGCTGGGGGGACCTGCGCGCGCCGAGCGAGTGCAGTCGACATGAACGGCGCCAAGAGTCAGACCACAGTTGTCCAATGTTGGTCGCGCCAGGACTGCTGCAGCTAAGTGGGCCGAGCATCTGATGGGGGCGCGTGCCCATTGGATGCAGCTAATCGAGGAACTCAGGTGCATCGTGGGCTGTTCGGATGGTTGCAGTTTGCGCATGCCTGCTTATGCTTCGCCATGGACTGGGCGCGCTGCGCATATCATGAGCGACGGTGATGCACGGCAGCTGGCGCGAACGCACGCCCTGGGCAATAATCGCATGGCCCCCATGATCAGAGGGATCAAGCACTGCAGCAGGAGGCGATCAACTTGCTGAATGAGGATGTCAGGCGTTTCTGTGCTTGAGAGACATGATTTTGAGGAGGTTGCAGATCGTATTGTTGAGGGGGCAGACGGGTTTCACGCTGAGCTCGACAAGGCCAGTGAACGCCAGTGGACGGAAGGAATGCACGGGCGCGGCGCGCGGTCACACGAGGTTGCAGGCTTTGCAAGTTAACGCCATGGATACTCAGCTGTTGCAGCCATACCAGATGGCAAATGGTGAAATGAGCAAATGGAGGAGCGCGTGGAGTTGTCTTGACACAGGGTACGCATGCGCCGCATGACCACGCTGCATGGCCGCCTTTGCCTTTAATGTATGCGCTTTGCGCGCGGGCAGCGGTCGGCGCCTGCTCTTGGAAGACGACCGCGGGGCCGACCAGGATCCACTTGCGAGCTTTTGGTTATGTGTCTGCTATTGGGATGCAGAGAATGGCCGAATTTTTGCGCGCCATGCGAGCGGCTGCTTATGCGGCCAGAAGATCCGACATTGAATGCGACGGTTCGAATCGGCAAAACTGGTGGTGGCACTCGGCGAATTACTCTGGTCGATAGCCTAGTTCGACCTTGGTCCAGGATGCGACGGCCGGTTTCCAGAGTAAGGGTTTCTTCCAATGGCAGCCGACGTGTTTCGGGGAATCGTCGAGGTAATCCGCCATCGTTCGCAGCATATGAGCATGACCTACAAGCTGAAGTTGCGCGTAGACTAGGTGAACACTCGGTAAGTATTGCGCTAAATATGTGTAAGTGCTTCGAGACGGTGCTCTTCCCAGCTCTTATTGATGGTTTTGGGCTGATTTTGCAAGCTGGAAAGTCTGGGTGCGTTTCTATTTCCAGAGCCGCTTGGAAGTCATGCGATCAGCGAGCTAGGCCGCTGCGTCTCACGGCCAAGAAATGGACGGGGAGTCTCGGGCATGAGCTCCCGGGAATCAGGCCAGTCAGGAACGAGCTACCACAAATGCCCCGCGAGCTGTCCGCTAGGATGCCGCGCGCGCTCATGGCGCGTAAGAATGCAGGCGTGAAAGTCGCGGCGCTCTGGGGAACAGGGATTCTTCCTGCTGCTGCACATGGCGCTTCTGCATCTGGAATTTCAGAGCAGGAACCATGCAAGCCACGGCGCGCGGGGTTGTCTGCGGGGGGGGGCCCACGCTTTCCTCGCTTATTTTAGTGTTAGCCACGCGGAAGGATGAGATGTAGGGCATTATCTGTCAGGCCACTTTGGAGCTTGTCAAGGCGCGTGCCCGCTTCGCTTGGGGCCACAGGAATTCCCTGGGACGTCTGCAGGGGGCTTGAGACACCGTCAATCGACAGTTGACGCTGGAAGCCTCCTGGAATGATGCTCGGGGGCCGAGTTCTACGTTGTGGCAAGCTGGTGCATGTTATCTAGTACGACCTTATGTGATGATAACAAGTACGTTATCGACCTGCTGAAGATGCCGCCTAAGTCTGCACCCGCATTCGTTGTTCAAGATAGAGCGCATAGATGGCAAGCCAGGAAGACACTTGCTCGACAACATGGCGTTTGCTTCGGTGGAGAGACGATTTGGATGCGCGCGCTCAGGAAATGTCTTCGCGGAGCCGAGGCTGCTGTTCGAGCCAGATTTGCAGGTGCTTTGATGTCTGAATGGGCTGGAGGTCTGCGGGCGAGGGCTCGGGTGGCTGCAGCTGGCCATCGCGCGTCGCCTGGGCGCCCATGGCGTAGCAACGGCATTCCTGATCCACTAGATCACCACATGTTTGCTTGCCCTGGGCTCTACGAGGATGCCCTGGGAAGGGGGCCTCAATTGGGGCCCTGAGCTGAACCACGCGCATATGTATCTCAGGGCAATTGCACCGCGTGGCTCGGGGCGGAAGATTGGGGCCAGTTTGAGATTTGCATTGGCGCGCCGTTGCCCCCCCCGGCCTCTTCCCATGATGCCCGTTAGGATGCCAGTGGTTTTTTCTGGGGGTGAATGGAGTTCTTGCGGAGATTCCAGGGGCGTGGCGGTTTTTGCGGATGGATCTGGCATGGCCCCACGC